ATGATTTTTTTTAAAATATTTGCTTTTGGGGCTGGGGATGTGGCTCAAGAGGTAGCGCACTCGCCTGACATGTGTGCGGCCCGAGTTCAATCCTCAGCACCACATACAAAGATGTTGTGTCTGCCAAAAAATAAAAAATAAATATCAAAAATTCTCTCTCAAAAAAAATTTGCTTTACTCAAATCAAAATCGAAATAAGGTCTGCACATGGCATTTAATTAGTATAATTCTTTATTTCCCATTTCCTCCACTTTTTTTCAATGCATATGTTTTTATATATAGGTCATTTAACTTATAGAATTTCCCATTTAGTCTGGCTTGCTATAAACTGGTTAGATTTAGAGACCTGATTAGGTTCACATTCTGTTCTTTTGGGGAAGAAATACTTATTGGATGGTACTGTATACCTCCTACTTCAAAATTTAGTGAACAGATATTTTCTAGATGATCTGTTGCTCCTCATGGAAGGATAATCAGTGAGTTCAGGCGCCCCCATGAGCCTTTCTCATTAGAGTTTTAGTGTTTGTGGGTGGTGGTTGCTTAGGGACTCCCTAAGTAGCTGAGGCTGGCCTTGAACTTGAAAACTTCCTGCCTCACCCCTCTTAGCCACTGGGATTACAGGTGTGCACTACTGTGCCCAGCTATATATATATATTTTGCATACATATAAATAGTAAATGATCAATTTCAGTATTAACAATAAGATTACTGAAAGCATAGCTGGGCACAATGATAGGCTTCTGTAGCCCCAGCTACTTGTGAAGCTGAGGCAGAAGGATCACTGGAACCCATGAGCTTAAAGCCAACTTGGGTAATTTAGCAAGACCCCATCTCAATTTTTAGAAAACTAAAAAGGTCTGGGAATGGAACTCCCTGACAGAACACCCCTGGGTTCAATACCTAGTACTGGAGGAGAGGAAGAACAAAAAAGATTACTGAATACAATTTAAGACTTGATTTGCATTTTGGCATCATCCTTCTTAGTATTTGACCCACTAGGAATATACAACCAAAATACTGTGTTTAAAATCACTTGAAGTTGTTCTTTGAGTAAGTGTGCAACCAACTTGGTTTGTACTTAAACAATTGTTTATTTTCAATTTTTAGATTAGTTTTCTTGAATTTAACTTTTATTTTAGCTATTCAAAAAACATTAGCACATTTCCAAAGTCACAACTGTAAATGAGATATCTAGCAAGATCTTGTACCTTGTTTCTTCCTTCCTGTATTATATCTTAGGACTACTGTAACAAATTAGCACAAATTTAGTGACTCAAAACAACACAGATTTATTTAAGGCTCTGTAAATCTCAAGTCCCACATAGTTCTCTAGGTGTCAGTCAGGTGATGTTCCTGTCTGGAAGCACCAGGGACAAATCCATCCCCTTGCTTTTTCCAGCTTATGGAGGCCAGCTGTGTTCCTTTCCCCTTTCTTCCATCTTCAGAGTCAGCAAACTTACTTTCTCTGAGCCTTCTTCTGTCACCAGATCTTTCTCTCCAACCAGTGCCACCTGCTGCTTGTAAGGACTCCTGTAATTGTAATTAGATTGGGCCCATCTGGATAATCCAGAATGATCTCCCATCTCAAGGACCTGAACCTTTACCATGTCTTTAGGAGACCCTTTGCCATGTGAGGGTCTCAGGGACTAGGGTGTGGACATCTTTGGAGTATCATCATTCTGCCTTCTACATTTCCCCCTAAGGGAATCATTTTAGTCAGTTTTAAAATTTACCTTTTCACTGTGTATTTTTTAAAATATAAGGAAATGTCTTTCTGCATCTTTTTTACTCAGAAGGTAACATGCTATAAACACTGTTTCTGAACCTTACTTTTTTTCACGTAATGGCATATCTTGGAGTTCATGCCAGAGCCTTGTGTTGAGAATTTCCTTTCTGCAGTTACATGGCACTTCATTGTGTGAGCTGAACCATACCATGCCATGCCATCCCTGTTTAACCAGTCCCTGTTGATGGGTGTATGTGTGTGTTTCAGTCTTTTGTTATTTATAATAATCCTGTCATGAGAAGTGCTGGACACACATCATTTTCATCTATATCTTCCTTCTTGTAGTCGATTGGCTTTGTTTTCTGCATTTAGATCTTTGAGCTCTTTGGACTATGTCCTAGTATGAGGAATAGATCTAACTTTTATCTTTTTTGCCCTTAAAATTTTGATTTGCACAAAGTCTAAAATTAATCAACATTTCCGTCCTTTCCATGAACAGTATAAAACTTTGAATAATTACTCAAACCATCTTCCTTCTCTCTTATGTTATTGTCTAGTATTATTTTTTCACCTCCAAATTAAACATCATTGCAGAGTCTGTTTATATCCATTCACATTTGTCCCTTCCTGACCACATTTTGTCCTCCACCTCAGTGCTTGCTCCTAAGACTGTTTTCCTTCTTCCCAAGGCAGATTCCTTTTGTGTGTATTCATTGAAGTAAAGTCTCTGGCTTTTCTGAAAGTCTTCATTTGACCCTCTTTTAAAATCTTGGCTTAGCTGAGAATGTGGCTCTGGACCCTCCTATAGCTGCAGTTAGTCTCCCAGTGTTTACTGACTCCTTTTGTCACAGCTGAGAAATGAGTTTCTGTTCATATGGTCCCTCTTTGGAGATCGTACCAGTCTCCTCACTGCTTTTGTCATTCTGCAATGTTGCTGTTGTGCATCTAGAGGAAGTGTCCTTATATACCCTGCGGGAGACTCAGGGCTTCTTGCTTCTTTAGGATTGGTGTATTTTGTCAATTCTTAAGAAACTGGACTTCTACCTTTCTGTATTTTTTCTTCAAGAATTCTGACTAGAAATGTATAAGACATGTGATCTTAGTGTTTATTGGTTTCTTGTCCATATTTTCCATCTATGATTCTCAGAAATATTTTCTGGATATTTAAATTCACAATTCTGTTCACTAATTCTTTTGCTGTGTGTTTTAAATTATTTTTTAAAATTTTATTTATTTATTTGCAGTACTGGGGATACAACCCAGTGGCACTTTACCACTGAACTACACGCCTAGACTTCTTGGTTTTGAGGCATTGTCTCACTAAATTGCTTACGGCCTTGTTGAGTTGCTGTGGCTGGCCTCAAACTTGTGATCCTCCTGCTCAGCCTCTCAAATTGCTAGGATTACAGTTGCACACCATCATGCCCAGGGTCTGTGTCTTTTTTTTTTTTTTTTTTTTTTTCAGTTGCAGATATATGCAATACTTTTATTTTTTTAATTTATTTATTTTCATGTGGCGCTGGGTATTGAACCCAGTGCCCCACAAGTGCTAGGCAAGCACTCTACCACTGAACTACAACCCAATCTACTGTGTCTTTTTTTAACCTGCCTTTGAGTTTTTTATTTCAACTGCATTTTATTCTGAAGTTATAGTAGGTTTTTTCAAATATGCCTAGTATTTTTTGGTATTATTTTGTTCCTTACCTACATTTTTTCCTTCTCATTTTTACTCCTGTCAACATTTTAAACAGACTCACTTTGTACTTTTCTGCTCATTAATGCCATTGTATATAAAATCCTTGATGGGCCTAGTTTTGTTGCTCTTGTTTCTTCTGAGTCAACACTTGGCAGTGGTCTGTTTCCTTGTGTTTGATAATTTGGGGCCTGTGAAGCAATACTAGAGCATCTACTCTGAAGCTGCATCTCTCCAGAGAGGGGAAAATGTGCTTTTGCTTTTGTGAAGTGATCTGGGAGAACCTGAAGTTGTTTGGCTGGTTTAAAGTTTCCCAAGCCACATAGGTAGTTAAAATAGACCCATGTGAAAGGAAGCCTAAGGTCATCATCTCTCAGGGGAGGTGTCTTCCACTGAGACCTCACTTCCAAACTGACACATTTCTCTGTCTCCTTTGCCCATTGAACAGATTTTGTTAATTATGATTTCTATTCATATGTAGCCCTTTGAAAGTCTGGCTTTATGTGAAAGGATTCAAGGATTCAAGCTTAATTGTATTTTATYTTTGTTTTTTGCCTTAATTAATTTATTTATTTTTATATGATGCTGAGGATTGAATACTTTTTATTTATCCTCAACTGGCTCAAGTTTTACAATGTCAATAGGAGTGAAAATATACATGTGTTTATAGTATGTATAAATTACATATGTGTGTGTATATATATATATATATATATATATATATATATATATATATATGTTATCCTTGTAAATGGCATACAGGACTGTAAAGTTTGGGGAGAGGGAGTTTTAGAATGATTTGTGACTTAATATTGACATGTAGCATTATCTGAAGAGCATAAATAAAAATCTATACCTTGAAGACAGGTCTTTAACCTAGGAAGTAACTGGATTTTCCTCGGTCCTCCTTACAGTTGCAGAGTACCAACCTGAACAGTCTCCTTAACTAGCCCTTCCCCAAGTTTGCTTGCTATTTTGGCTTAGTTTCTTAGAGACACAATTAATTAATTGATGAGTTAATTACTGTAAATGAGTTGTAATACCCATAATCAAGAGTAAACTATATTTAATTTAGAAAAGTAGATGACAATAAATTAAGGCAAAATAGACAAAAGAAATGTTTATGGATGATTAAATTTCAGTGGCCATTTTTGGTCTCTAGTGACTCTAGAAATCCTTCCATGTTAGCTGGCACTCCTTGGGCACTGAGCAGGGTTCAGGTCCCCATTCCGGTGCTTTGCGGCATCTTCCTGCTTACAAGTTATCTTGTTTTCCAAGTGAACGGGTTGGGCACAGGAAGGTTAAATGATGGTTGCAAAGCTAATAAGTGACAAAGTGACTCAAAGTAGCTGGCCTGGCCAAGAGCCCCTGTCATGCAGTAACCAGCTGGCCTGCTGTGCAAAGGCCCACAACTGTCACCACCTAGGGGTTTAAGTCTGGTCTTTGGAGCATAATTTCAGTAGATGAGGTGGTGCAGAGAGCAAGCCACAGTGGTCTTCATTTGTTCATGTAGACCCAGGGCAAGCCTGGGAGTTCTGCACCCCTCCTGGTGCCAACTTGCCAACCTCTTTTCTCTTTCAGTTTCTGTTCCAGCAGCTGGGAATGCTGGTGTCTTTTGTGAAGAGCCACATCAGGCCTTATATGGATGAAATCGTCACCCTCATGAGAGTGAGTAGAAGTTGCTGCCTGTTCCTCCGTGTTTGGGTCAAGGGAAGCTCAGACACAAGTTTGGGTGACATACACATTCTTTTCATTGGTCATTGTGGAGCTGTTACAGCTCAAGTATAAAAAGTAGAGCAGAGTAGCCCACTGCATTTTGGGGAGGAGGAGGGGCTTTCGCTCCAGGCTTCTGGCTCCAGTACGTGAGTACAAGATGTGAAGTCCCAGGAGGAATCCCAAAGTAATTGTTCTGGCAGAGATATTCTTGAATTACTGGCTTCACACATAACAAAGCAATTTTGTTTTAATATCACAACAGTGCTTTTCTCTTCCCAGAAAAGCCCTCTTCTTACTGCCCATAAAACCACGGCCTAAAGAGGGGACTGGGATTGGGTTTTCCTAGGGATGTTAAATACCGCAGTCTCCTGTCAGGCACTAAGGAACAAGGTGAAGCTCTGCCCTGCTCTCCAAAAGTATGAGTATTGCCAGCCAGGCATAGTGGTGTACGCCAGTAATCCCAGCTATCCAGGAATTCAGGGTGAGAGGATCACAAGTTCTAGTTCGACTTGAACAACTTAGATCCTGTCTCAAAATTAAAAAAATAAAAATAAAAAGGGCTGGGGATATAGCTCAATGGTAGAGCAACCCTGGGTTCCATTTCCAGAACTGCAAAAGGAAAAACATGAGACCACTGCTAAGGGCTGGGCTGGGGTCATTTATGGCAGGCATTAGGCAGGTATCAGGAGACAGCCCCTTCCAGCAAGATCCTTTTCCCTGCTGTTCTGCGTAATGTAAATATCTCTGTTGGGAAAGTTGCGTTGGACAGAGGTGGACAATGGTTTGTGTCCTTCCCTCCTATTTAGTTAGCTTGGAGGATGCAGCAGGGCCAGAATCAAAATGGCTGTCTTTCTAAATGAAACTCCTAGCACCTAGCTCTCAGAGCAGAACTCCTGCATGTATAAATCCTTAAAAGCCGCTCCTACCACTGAGGCCTCTGTACTGGGAATATAGGGGCTGAATACTAAAAAGCTTAGTGGGTGGTCTTAGGGGGAGGAGAGACACAGAGGAAGCAGTGTACTCATGGTGGGGAGCTGAAGTGATCTTTGACTCACTCCCCCAAAAAGACATCTGACCAAAACAGAATTTGAGGCTGAAAGCCTCACAGCTGCAAGATACAGCTTCCACTCTATCCTGGGTAGGGAAGGTTTAGCTGGGCTCCCCCTTTGGCTGTTGATCCTGGGCATTTTAATGAGCTCCCCTGAGCCCGGGAAGAGAACATTCTGTGAACAGTGATCCAGCTGACATCCCCCCTCAGGCTGCTGGCCTTTGAGTAGAGAACCTGTGAGGAGCCTGTGATGATGCGGCTGCGGGTAGGTGGGCTCTCTGAAGAAGGCAGAGTGCAGCTGATCGAATGAGCCCCGCACCAACCAAGGGGCCTGAAGGTCTGCGATGTTTCTTTAGCAAAGCTTCTTATCTAAAATGAACATAGCTTTCTCAGAATACTTCTTTCCCAGCAGAGAGAGAGAGAGAGTTTTACCAGCCTCTGTTTTATTTTCTAAATTGTTAATGCTTCTTTAAAATTTTTTTTCTTGCAGTGCTAGAGTTTGAGCCCAGGGACTCGCACATGTAGGCAACCACTCCATGGCTGAGCTACATACATCCCAGCCCACTAAAAATATTTTATCCTTCTCTAAAACCTTTTGTCTGAGAAGTTATCCTTGTTTTTATTGACTTCTACCCTGAATTATTTAGGGACCCAAGAGTATTAATATTCATGTGTTTCCATCATTAGGAGGGTTTCTGTTATCGTTAACGCTCCTACTCTGGAGGTTTTAAAGAAGGCAGTTGGCACTATTCTTTTTGAGTTGATTTAAAATGACAGCTTTTCTTAGGGACTTAAGCCAGTCTGCCTTGAATTTCCAAGGCAAGATCTGTGGCCCATTGACCAAATTTTTGTTTTAGTAATGTCTGTGAATTATAATTGCATGGATGTTAAAAGTGTTCATTTTTTGGCACTATCCAGGCCTAATGGATAGGTTTTGGGGATAGATATCAGATGCTATCTAGCAAAATGTAATTCCAGGAAGATAGGAGCTCTGCCCTCTGGTAAAGATCAGGTGATGCCAAAGTAGTCCACCCTGTGTCACTTTGGAGCTCTTAGAATGAGTGAGATTTAGTCATCTGTTCATTTTGTAAGCATGCGTTTGAGTGGCTATAGTATCCCAGATGTTTTAGCAGGTTCTGGGGATACAGAGGTGAACTTTCATGGCTTCTTGCCTGGAGTTGTCCTACAGTCTAGTAGGGGAGGGTGTGAAGCACGTTGAGTTTGACAGGTGCTTAAAGGAGGAGTGTAAAGTGACCCAAATGGCAGAGGAAGAGGAATGCCTTCACAGAAGAAGCAAGGCTCAGCCGGTGCTCAACAGACAGATGGGGCTGAGCTGAGCAAGAAATGGGTTTCTAAGAAAAAGGTATAGTGTGAACAAAACACAGGAGAGTGAGGGAGCCCTGGAGAAGTGTGGTTTCATTTCTCCAGCTGACAGACAGTAGGCTATCTAAGCCCCAGTGAGAGAAGGGAGGAGTTCCTCTGGGGCAGACCATACTTGCTTCTTTTTGGCCATCTTAGTTCTGCATTCACATTTCAGCAGGGAGACATTTGACTGTTCTTCTTTCTCTTCCTCTCTCTAGGAATTCTGGGTGATGAACACTTCCATCCAGAGCACAATCATTCTTCTCATTGAGCAAATTGTGGTAGCTCTTGGGGGTGAATTTAAGCTATATCTGCCCCAACTGATCCCGCACATGCTGCGTGTCTTCATGCATGACAACAGCCCAGGCCGCATCGTCTCCATCAAGGTGAGCAGCCTGGGATCCTCCAGGGACATGTCCAGCTTCCTCAGAATCCTTGGAAGATCAACTGAGAAGTGAGATTGTCTTGTGTGACAAGTCAATGTTCACTCCATAAGACCAAATCAAGTACACTGACAACTGATGCTGCCCATTGGCAGTTTACACCAAGTTTGCCATTCCCTCTTAATTTTCCTTAAGTTCTGTCTCCTCTTAGGGTTGTTCTTGGTAAATATTTTATCCCAGACAAGTTTTCTCTATTTCTTATCAATTGAAATAAGCACAGAAGGCAAAGTGATATGAAAGCAAATAAAATTGGGAAGGGATCACCGAAAGAATATAGCTCAGAGTGGCTCAAGATGGCTTGGTAGAGTCCCCCAGAACTCTGACTTAGCATCCCACTGCCCCGTCCTGTGCTTGGCTGCCTAACACCTGACTACTCGTTCTCTGCTGTGCTCTTACTCCCTCTTGCAGTTGTTGGCAGCAATCCAGCTATTTGGTGCCAACCTGGATGACTATCTGCATTTGTTGTTGCCTCCCATTGTGAAGCTGTTCGATGCCCCTGAAGTTCCACTGCCATCTCGAAAGTAAGCACCTGCCCTTGAGGACCAACTTTTGGTGTTTTGTAGAAAATGTCCTTTTCTTATGTTCCTAGGCCGGCCGGCCGGCCGGCCTGCTTGCTTTCTTTCTTTCTTTCTTTCTTTCTTTCTTTCTTTCTTTCTTTCTTTCTTTCTTTCTTTCTTTCTTTCTTTCCTTCCTTCCTTCCTTCCTTCCTTCCTTCCTTCCTTCCTTCCTTCCTTCCTTCCTTCTTTCTTTTTTAATTTATATATGATAGCAGAATTCATTACAATTCTTATTACACATATAGAGCACAGTTTTTCATATCTCTGGTTGTATACAAAGTATATTCACACCAATTCGTGTTTTTATACATGTACTTTGGATAATAATGATCCTCACATTCCACCATCATTTATAACCCCATGCTCCCTCCCTTCTCCTTCAACAACTCTGCCCTATCTAGAGTTTGTCTATTCTATTCCTCCCATGCTCCCTCTCCCTACCCCATTATGAATCAGCCTCCTTAAATCAGAGGAAACATTTGACATTTGGTTTTTTGGGATTGGCTAACTTAGCATTATCTTCTCTAACCCCATCCATTTACCTGCAAATGTCCAGGCCATCTTTCTTTCTTTCCCTTTTTTCCTTTTCAGACTTTCAACCTTCATTATTTTAGTCCAGAATTGTCCTAGATTTATGGAAGTCTTAATTGTCTCTGTCCCACTGCAGCATGTGTTGGATCCATGTCACTCATGTACCCCAGAAGCCCTTGTTTCCCATTTATTCAGTGCTGATTGTTAAGGGAGCTCAGGCACTTTGTCTTCCTCTGGGTTGTGTGTAGCAATCCCTGTATGCTCCCGATGCTGTAGGGCGGCATTGGAGACAGTGGACCGCCTGACGGAGTCCCTGGATTTCACTGACTATGCCTCCCGGATCATTCACCCGATTGTTCGTACACTGGACCAGAGCCCAGAGCTGCGTTCCACAGCCATGGACACGTTGTCTTCACTTGTTTTTCAGCTGGGGAAGAAGGTAAGACAGGAGTCCTGAACAAACAAGTGCTCCTCTTTCAAGAGAAAGACTTTGTCTGAGCTTCTCCATTTATTTAGTCTTGTAGGTCCTAAGCACCTTCAGAAAACAGAACTATTTGCTTTTTTGTTATTGTTCTTCATTTGTTCATCAAATATGTATTAAGCCACCTGTGTGAGCTAAGTGGCATTCTAGAAATAACATGATAAAACAAAGTCTTGCTCTCCTAATGCTCACATTCCAATGAAGCAAAGCAAGGAAACCCATTTTGTCTCATAAGAGTGATGGGTGAAAGCAGGGAAAATGCTGTTACTCAGTGTAGCTAGGGAGCATGTCTAGAGACCTAAATACAGTAATGGTCAGTCCCAGAGTCAGCAGCAGATGCCCAGGCTAATGCCTGCAAGAAGAGCTGGCAGCAAGCACAGCTGGAGAGCAGCATGACTTCAGGAGGGGACAGGAGGAAGGCTTGGATCTGAGGTCATAGAGATGAGGCAGGTGGGTAGGAAGACTAGAAACAGGTCCAAAATGTGGTCCATGCACAAGCAATATCAGCATCCACCTGCCAGGAAACTTTTTAGGTATGCAGAGTTTCAGCCTACCCCAAACCTGCTAAATCAAACTCTGACTGTGGTGCCCAGCAGTCTCTAAGTTTCAAGCCTTCCTGGTGATGCTGCTGCCTACTAGCATGCAGACACTATTGTGGCCCATTGTAAGTGGCTTTTACTCTGAGCAAGACCAGAAGTCTTTGGGGGATTTTGAACACAGGAAAAATATGATTGACTTAATATTTTAAAATGATTACTCAATGTTGGGTGGAAAAATAGGCTATGGGGACAAGGGTAGAAACAGAAATCTGGGAAAAGCTATTTCAGGAAGCCAGATGGAAGACGAGGCTGTGGATTGGTGTAGTATAAAGGGTTCTGTAGAACACCCAGCAGAAATAGCTATCCTGTAATTGTGTAATATTCTTTTCTTTCCACCCTCCAAAGTAATGTTTTTTGATCTCTTTCCACTCCTGTTATAGTACCAAATTTTCATTCCAATGGTGAATAAAGTTCTGGTGCGACACCGAATCAACCATCAGCGCTATGACGTGCTCATCTGCAGAATCGTCAAGGTGAACACACTTCCATTCTACTTTGTCTTCCTCATTGGCATTCTTGTCCTCTTAGCTAATGAGTATGTCTAGCTTTTTAACTCTGAACCAGGATTGGCGTACTTTCTTGGTAGACATGGTATCTATTGAGCTGCTCGGYTCCGCCACTGCAACCTAAAAGCAGCCATAAGCCACGTGAGCTGATTGCATTATGGAAAGACTTTACAGACACCAGACTTTTATTCTCTTACAATCTTCATGTATTATAAAGTATTAATTTTTTGTTTTTATTTTTTCAACCATTTGATACTGTGAAATCCCTTCATAGTTCTCAGGCTATACAAAAAATGGGCAGGCTGTTTGCCACCTTTGCTCTAAACATGTCATCACCTTTTCCCGGCTTACAGTTGTTTTATTTTGTCAGTTGCATGGTTGCATGCCCACACTACTTTAGTGAGAGCTTGCTGGTGACCAGGAGTGACTAACAAAAAAATGGTCTGTCTTGGGAAACTTGATCCACCTGCAGCTCACTTTGTCCATACATGCAACCTTTTACTGCTTGTTGAAACCCTGCCTCTTCCAGAATGTCTGATCTCCCAAGGTTTATGCTTGTTTTCTACACTGACAACCTCTAAAGGAATTGCAGGAATTTTTTGTAAATCTGTTTGCAGGGATACACCCTTGCAGATGAAGAGGAGGACCCTTTGATTTACCAGCATCGAATGCTGAGGAGTGGCCAAGGAGATGCGTTGGCTAGTGGACCAGTAGAAACAGGACCCATGAAGAAACTGCACGTCAGCACCATCAACCTTCAGAAGGCAGGTCCTTTGCTTCCAGAGGACTCGTGAAAGACGGCTGTCTTTATCCCTCTAGTTCAAAGCTTTCAGCTCTTGCTCTCTGAAGTTTAAATCACCCAGGAACTAACCCAGCATTTTCCCAGTACTTAGGCTGTTTTGTCTTTATCCAGATGTCAAGCTCATCATATTTTTTAATAGAGGAAAAGCAGAGAACCAAATATCCTTTTGTGCTCCCTTGAAACTTCAGCAGTAAAATCTTTTGCAAATAACACTCTTATTTTTTACATGAATAGAACAAAGCTGGTGAGTCCCATAATTAGCACTAGGACTGATGCAGGCTCTTTAAAGCAAAGCTTTGCTAACTTCTCAATTTCATTGGGCTTATCAGTTGTTGAAGATCTTGTTAAAATGCTTACTCTTGCCAGGTGTGGTAGCACATAGCTATAATCCCAGCTACTCAGGAGGCTGAGGCAGGAGGATCACAATTTCAAGGCCAGCCTGGGCAACTTAGTGAGACCCTGTTTCAAAATAAAATCTAAAAATATGCTAGGGATATAACTCAATGGTAGAACACCTCAAGGTTCCAATATATATATTTTTTAATGCTTACATTGATGCAGATTGTCTGAAGTCAGGCCTGATACTCTGTAGTTCTAACAGGTTCTCAGGCAACATGGTGCTGCTTTGAGTAGTGAGATTTTATATTTTTGCAGGTTAAGTACTGACTTGTCTTTGCTGTCCAAAGCCAGGGTGTGGCCAGCTTTTCACCTGTGTGTCATTGGCCGTCCACTTGAAAGCAGGCAGTCTCATAGCATTTCTAGTGAATCTGAGCAGAGTAATCATAGTTACTTCACCAACTTTTAAATAAATACCCCATGTTGCTTATTTTCCACATTTTGCATTAGTCTTTAGTGCCTCTGGAGACTGCAGGCAGTTCCAGTTTATATTTTTAACATGTTATTATTCTTCATTTATTAGAATCTGACACAACAGCTACTCTTCATGTGCACGCACAGAGAGAAATAAAAAACTGGGCAAGCCTATGTCCCAGCTGACTCATCCTCTTCTTTTGGCCAAGCCCAGAAAGATTAGAACACTGTCTTGTGTGCATGTGTGTGTGTGTGCTCACACCTAGCCTTGGAACATTGCAGGTGTTCTACTGATCTTGTGTCAGAGTCTACCCACACAATGTCAGGTGACCCCACTAGGAAATGCTTGCTAATTTAAGCTGAAAGTGGTCAAATATTGCTGTGTCAGAGGGAATGCTGCTTTTCCCATGGGGATTTCCTAACTGCTAGTTGAGACTTGCAGGTCATCAGTCACCTGGCATTCCTAGGCAATTTTTGAGGCCACCTGTTGACACCTCACATTCGAGGGGTGGGCAGGCAAGGAAGCCAGTTTGCACATTTCCACACAGATGTTTTCAGCCTGCCTAAGTTCAGAATGTTGTTCCAGGTAGCTGTCCGCCTGCTTTAGGAAGCTTTGTTTTCTTTTAGCAGATTCCCCCAATATTCTGGCTCACTTTCAGGGAGTTGCTTCCCCACCCTCCTTTTTTTTTTTTTTCTTTTTAACATGAGGTCTTGCTGTTTTGTTGCTCAGGCTTGTCTTGAATACTTGAGCTCAAGAGATCCTCCTAGCTAAGCCTCCCAGGTAGTTGGGACTATAGACATGTGCTTTCAGGAAGTATGGCTTTCTACCCAGGACTTGGAAAATAAGCATAAATCATGCCAGACAAATGAAAGATTGTAGTTTACTTCACCTGAGAGAATAGATCAAGTTCTAAAACCCTAAGCAGAATTCTCCACAGCTGATTATTGAATCCATTTCATCAAAAAGTAAATTGTGTTCCACATAACCCTCATGTAAAGATGATCAGAGATTGGAATAGTTATCACTTTAACCAGCTTTCAAAATAACATTTACCACCTTAGTTACTGTTCTGTTGTCTATGCTAATAGTGGTTTTACACAGTACAGAAAACAATACATTTGTGTATATCTCAAGATGGCCTATAGGATTTCCAGCAGCTCTGCTGTCATTTGATAGTCTATCTGGCCTCTCCTTCACAAGGAATAAGTTGGCATTGCCCATGATCATGGACCAGCACCCCAGAGGAGGCATTAGCATTGGGTGGGTGGCAAGAGGAACCTGGCTGGAGTTTACAGTTATTATAGAACCTGGAGAAGTCAGAGGCGCAGGGAGGAAAGGCCAACAAGTGGGATTTGGCCTGTGTGATAGACAGTGCAGTCGCCCATTAAGTTTGATTTTTGAAGACCTGTTGGCTGCCATTTATCAAGTAGTAGCAACAGCAGTAATGACAGCAGCAGTAGCAACAACTGACATTTGTTGACAGTTTTCCATGTGTCAGGCAATGTTGTGAGCATTTCATGTATTTAATCATTGACTTTGAATTTTTACAATAACCCCCTGAGTTAGGTACTGTCATTACTGTCCCCATTTTACAGATTATACTTTGAGGCATTGAGAGGTTAAATAATTTGCCCAATTTGTCAACTAGTAAATGGTGGAGCCAGGATTCCAGATCTGACCTGGACAATTCCAGAGACCACTCTCTTAACCACTGTATTAAGTCACCTTTGTTTCCCAAGGCCCAACCTCATGTCTTTAGAGAAAGAAATTCATACTACTTCCTTGTTTGGGTTCAACTTTTTAAGTGCTGTTTCACAGTACAGCTGCACACAGACCAATTTGTGGTTAAGCAACCCGAATCTGAGAACAGAAAAGGATTCAATGTTTCTGTGTCACTAAGCAGGTTTCAGAGGTCTTTGGTAGCTAGTCTTACTTCTCCTTATTCAGGGATTCTCATTGTATGTTCAGTCAGTGTAATATTTTGGTTTGCCTCTTGTGATACTTTAGTTCAGTTTGTTTTGACAAAAATTACTGGTTTATGTGGCATCATCCATTGGTAAGTCTTGAGAAGAAGCAGATCTCCAGTTTACCCCATTGGTCAAGTTGTTGATGTTTGGTGGTGTAGCACATAGGGGTTCTTTCACTCCCTCGATGATTTACTGGTCCAGTTTACAGACTGCTGCACTAACTGACATGACTTCCCCAGTTAAGAGAGGATGGACATGTCTATTCTGCTGGAAAGGGCTTAGAAGAGGAAGGTAGGACTTCTAGTTAGGGCCAGGGCAGTTCAGATGGATGTTATTTTGATAGTAGTTACCACTTTTGTTCATCTTTCCTGGCTTACCTCTGGATACATTGTTCCTAAATAAGGAAGCCTGAGGCTCCACACAACATATGTGTTTTTCTCAGGGTGGTGCAACTGCTGAGTGGCAGGACCAGGATCCCAGCTGGGTATTTTTAATTGCAGAGAAATAGGCACTCATACCTAGCCAGCTGTGCCAAGCACAGTTACAAATTCATTACATTGCAGAGTGCCCAGCTTCCTCCATGCACCACTAGAGGCCATTAGGCTTGTTGAACACACCTGCATATGACACTCCCTGTCCATTCTGCTTCCATAGAGCTCTCTGCTTTGGTGTCAGAGTGTAGCACAAGCTAGTTATAAAACAGGCCTTTTCTGTCATGTGGTGTATTCCAGAGGTTGCTGCTTTTGCTTTGTGCCTTTTAATTAAATATTACTCTTTTGTATTTGTGCTCTGGTGGAATTTCATCATGAGAGGTATAATTTTATAAATCAAAGTAATAGAATAATTATCAAGTGAATGAGGGCTCTTTTCAATGGGCCCTTGGAGACTGATGGTTTCTGTTGTCACCTTTGGGCTCACAGGCCTGGGGAGCTGCCAGGAGGGTCTCCAAAGATGACTGGCTGGAATGGCTGAGACGGCTGAGCCTGGAGTTGCTGAAGGACTCCTCCTCGCCCTCCCTGCGCTCGTGCTGGGCCCTGGCACAGGCCTACAACCCCATGGCCAGGTACGGTGGGTCCGGCTCTCCTCTGCCTGGGTTCCCATTGGGATAAAAGGATCAGCACAGAGAAAGTGACTTGGTTTTTATTACAAGTAATAATAAAAGGGATAGTATTTTTTTAACTTGGCTAATTGTGGAACAAAAAAGAAAAGGCAGTTGAACAAGTTCACATTACAGGAAAAGCATCAAGCTTAATCTTACTAATAAACCACAGATAAATTCCTTTCCTTGAACTTAATTACATTTAAAACTCCGAAAACAACTCTGTAATAGTTGAAAGTAACCTATTTCCATTACTAATGATATTCTAATTATTGATTGCTGCATTATAGTTATCACAAAACAGATGCAGAAATTGTGGATTCTGATCTAGATCAGGAAAATTAGTTTATTTCTTATTTTATAGGAGACTAATTRTAGTATGGGACTTCTTTTGAGTTTCAAATTTTGTTTGGTTGTTTTGGGGGGGAGGTAGGTGGGTACTGGGGATTGAACTCAGGGTCACTCAGTCACTGAGCCACATCCCCAGCCCTCTTTTGTATTTTATTTAGAGACAAGGTCTCACTGAGTTGCTTAGCACTTCATTGTTGCTGAAGCTGGCTTTAAACTTGCAGTCCTCCCGCCTCAGCCTCCTGAGCCTCTGGGATTACAGGCATGCGCCACTGCACCCAGCTAAAAAAAAAAAAWTTTTTTTTCATTGAATTCTAAAAGTATACCCACTGACCTTAACTCTTTTTGGTGCTGGGGACTGAACACAGGGCCTTCTGCATGCAAGGCAAGTACTCTACCAACTGAACTATTTCCCTAGCCCCTGACCTTAAATTTTTAATGTGTAATAGCAAGTAGATACAAAGGCATCATCTCATAATGAAGCAAAAAGATTGCAGCTCAGTGGTAAAGCATTTCCTTGGCATAAGGGAGACCCTGGGTTTGATCCTCAATCCTACAAAAAAAAAAAAAAAAAGGTCATAAAAATATGCCAGGCACTGTGGTGCAGGCCTGTAATCCTAGCAACTTCAGAGGTAAAGGCAGGAGGATCACAGGTTCAAAGCCAGCCTGGGTAACATAGGGAGATCCTGTCTCAAAAAACAAACAATAAAACAAGTCATTTATTTTGCTCATGAATCTGAAATTCAGGAGCACTTGAGACAGCGTGTCTCAGCCCCACTTGGTGTCAGCAAAGTTGGTTTAACTGGGACTGGAAGGTCCACCTTCAGGATGTCCACTTGCATGTCTGGCATGCTGGGGCTCCTGACTGGGAACTCAGCTCTGGCAGAGGGCCTTAGGTCCTTTCCGTGTGGATCAGTAGTTCTGTGGGTCATGTGGGCTTTCCCACAGAAGATGTCTAGGCTCAAGAGTAAGTTCCTCAAGAGAATGAAGTTAAAGTGCATGTTGTTTCTACAACCTAGCCTTGAAAATCCCGTAGTGTCACTTCTGCCTCAAGGCAGTCACAAAGGTCAACACAGCCTCAAGGTATGGATACGTGGATACCATCTTTTGCTAGGGGAGTAGCAAGATTATAGAAATGCAGAAGGAGTAGAAGATACTGCTGCAAACATCTTTGGAAAATAGAATTTTCTGGGAAAATGTCATTTCACTTTATTTTTTAAATCTTTCTGGTCTTAGGGATTAAACCCAGGTCCTTACACATGCTAAGACATGTTCCACCCAAGTGCAGTGCTAAGACATGTTCCACCCATGTGCTGTGGGCCCAGCATCCCAGATGGATTTTTAACACTGGACCTGCTATGCAGGTGCATAGATGTGTATGTCTGTGCCCAGATTCCAGTCAAGCTCTACTACTATTAGCAAAAATCCTGACATTAGTATAGCATACTTCTGATCTTTGATACTCAGTTTACTGAGCAAGTCTTGTCTCCACCCAGAACTTTAATGATGTACAGGGGAAATACTTTAAATAGCAAATCTTGAAACAGCTATGAAAGATTTGGTTTATTAAAAATTCTTTTTGGGGGGCTSGGGTTGTGGCTCAGCAGTAGAGTGCTCACCTAGCATGCACGAGGCACTGGGTTCGTGTGTCCTCCTAAAACTTAAAAAATAAAATATAGGGGCTGGGGATGTGGCTCAAGCGGTAGYGCGCTYGYCTGGCATGCGTGTGGCCCAGGTTTGATCCTCAGCACCACATACCAACAAAGATGTTGTGTCCGCCAAWAACTAARAAAWAWAWATWWWAAWWYTCTCTCTCTYTWWAAAAAAWWWWAAAWWWWAAAAAAAWAAAATAAAATATAAAAAAAGGACTAGGGAATTATGTATGACCACAAAAGTGGGAACCTAATAGACTAAGTTATACTTTATGTATGTGTAGTCTGTCAAAATAATTCTGTTATATATAACTAAAAATAAAAAAAATTTAAATTAAAAAAAGGGGTGGGGCAGGGATGTGGCTCAGTGGTTAAGCACAGCTGGGTTAATCCCTGGTATTAAAAAAGAAAAAAATATCCCAAGAATCATTTGAGAATATTGTTTTCTAAATGTGTAATGTTACTTGTGTTAGGAGTCTGCTTCTGTTCTTCCCTTCCAGTGAAAGAGGAAGGGTACAGAAACTGCCAAGGAACATGCCTGTGGAGACAGGCTACATGCTGTCTTCCCCATCCCACCTTCCCATGTATCCTGTTTGTCACAGTATCTTTACCTGCACTGTAGGACAGAGCAGTCACTAGTTATGTGTGGCTATTTTAGTTTAATTACAATTAAGTAAAATTTTAAATTTTGTTTTTCAGTTACTCATACCTCAGTTTATCCTCTTAGCACCTAACAGCTGCCTGCTGCCGTGTCGTTCAGGGAAGATTTCAGCCATTTCAGCAAGTTCTGTCAGACAGCACTGGTCCACACAACCAGGTCGACAGTACCAGAAGCAGATTGGTAGTGTGACTTTGTAGCACTAGGCAGAGGAATGGGAAGGGTTTCCAGCTTCCTTCTGTACTCCCCTGTACTTTCAGGGATCTCTTCAATGCTGCATTTGTGTCCTGCTGGTCTGAACTGAATGAAGACCAGCAAGATGAGCTCATCAGAAGCATTGAACTGGCCCTCACCTCTCAAGACATCGCTGAAGTCACACAAACCCTCTTAAACTTGGCTGAATTCATGGAGCACAGTGACAAGGTGAGACTCTTTCCCCTTGTCCAGTGGAGACTGACCAGGAAGCCAGCTGCTGGGAGGAGAGAAGCTTCCACACAGACCATTCTTGTTTGTGCCCATCTGCCATTTTCCTATGCTGTGGGATTTTGCTCTCCTTTAGGGCCCCCTTCCACTGAGAGATGACAATGGCATTGTTCTTCTGGGTGAGAGAGCTGCCAAGTGCCGAGCATATGCCAAAGCACTGCACTATAAAGAACTGGAGTTCCAGAAAGGTCCCACCCCCGCCATACTCGAGTCTCTCATCAGGTAGGCTATAATGACCTCTCTGCTCCCCTTGCTCTCTGGAGTCACTGGGCAGCATCTGTTGTGCGGCCAGCACATTTAAGTGACGTGTGCTTGCAGATAGCTCTCCCTGGTAGTATCGTCATAATTGTCATCTGTTGACTCTTCCCACCTGAGCTCCCGTCCTTTTCCAGCCTGTTGTTTCTCCATGTGGTGGGTTAGTCCAGAAGCAATCCATGACTGCAGCAGCCTAGGAAAGATAGGTTTGATGTCTGGGTTAGATTGCATTCTCTGGGCAGGATTAGAATGTACTGGCTCCTGGGCTTCAAAAGCCAGCCACAGGAGGTTTTGGCAACTGAATCTGGTGCCTGGGTCTTCTTGGGAATCCTGTGAGTATAAAAGGCAGAGCAGAGTCTGAGATCTGATGGTCTTTTCCCCTAATTTGATTAATTTTCTCCTCTCATATGATGGTTTTGAGTCTTCTGGGCATAGAAATAAAGAGGTTGTTGAATAAATTTTCTGCTGTTATGAAATTGTTAAGAGTCTGAAACATTAGCTTCAATTCCTAGAGAACCATTCACTTCCCTTAATGATTATCAAAGAATATCAACTCTGGATCTAATTATCTTCATGGAAATACTCACATGGTTCATTATTTTGCTGCAGGTAATTTAGGGAAAATCATTGGCTAATCAGTTTGTCCACTGACTGAAGGACTTGGCCAAGCATGGGCCTAGTCCATTGAACGGGTAGTCGAGGGGCCGAGTTCTCCACTAGTTTTGTCTTGAACAGATGCTGCAAAGTGTTGCTTTCAACACCTTACCTTACTTATGACCAGAAAGTAGAGGTGGAATTGCAGAACTTAGAGACAGTCACAAACAGGCCACCAGGAGGCATGCTTCAGTGTCAGATTAAGCACAGTAGTAAACGTGAAGATCTGCATCTCTTCCTCCCATCTCCAGCTCATGCAATCGCATGTGAGAACTGATAGAAAATATGGTAACTGGGTTTGTTAACTTCAGCGTCATAACTAATGATTCATATTAATATTCAGACTGACCCTTTTCTAATTGAGACCCACCTGAAACCTCCTTATCCTCCCTTGGTTTTTCCCCATATTTGAGGCTGAGAAGCATTATTAAAGTTAATACAGATTAAAYGTCCTCAGTAAGGTCATTTAGCTTTTCAAGCTGATGTAATTTAAAATAAATCCTCAAGATTCATTATAAATTAAATTGATCTTGGGGCACTTTAACTTTAACCACTGAACCACATCCCCAGCTTTTTTTTTTTTTTTTCATTTTATTTAGAGACAGGCTCTCACTGAGTTGCTTAGAGCCTCACTGAGTTACCGAGTCTGGCTTTGAACTTGAGATCCTCCTGCCTCAGCCTCCCAAGCCGCTGGGATTATAGGCATGCGCCAGAATGCCGGGCCTTGACTATTTTTTAATCTCTATTTTGAGGGAAAGCCAGTTTTCCCATCCCCTCAGGCCAGTTCAGCTGATTCAGCACAGCTCCAAGTCCTGCCTCCCTTCAGCTGGTCTCCCATTCTCCCCAGTACCTTTCTGTTTTGTCTCCATTTGCATGCAGCTTTCGTCATGACACTGTAAAACTGCCTTTCCCAAGTGCAGTTGTGATTGCACACTGTTGTGATTGTTGCTTCATCTTTACTGGAGAAGACTTTGAGGAGCGATGTTAGGCAAAGCTCCTTTCAGGGAAGCTGCCCATACTACCCCAGTACTCTTCAACTGCTGAATTCCTGCTAGAGAACTTAGAGCCTCCCCCAATATATTTCAGACTTCACAAGTATTTAGGGAATAATAGTTAATTGCCCTTCCCCACTGCTCTATTTTTCCTACCCTATATTCCTTTCATCAGTGTATTCATTCTTTTAGAGTTTGTTGTAATACATATATTTGAATCATCTGCCTAAATTTCTATTTGAAACAGGTAACCCTAAACAAAAACATCTTTGTATAGCTGTTTCTTAGTTTTTGTACTTGTTTTGAAAAATTGTGCTTTGCTGGCGATATAGATATAGTTCTTTTGCGTTGGTTCAGTCTACCTGTTGATCATTTTACCTATTTGCTCCAGGACAAATTAAATCCCACATGCAGTCCCCAAGCCAGACTAACATTGAGAACTATAAACTACTTCCACGTCCTTAAAGCTCACATACATCAATAAGTATAATTGCTTCTTAGGGGAGCAGTGGATTAAGGGGGTCTTGAATTGTTGGAAAATACATACTCATAATGTGGGGCTCTTCTTGGCTTAGCCAGAGTATGAGGTGGGGTCTGCTGGCTGCCTTTCTTCTTTGTCCTACATAGAATAGAGTACTAACTGCCCAGCTCCTGATGAGTAAGCATCTTTTAAAAAATATTCCTGATTGAGACATCTGCAAAATTAAAACTCAAAAAAACAGGCCGGTGCTCATGATGAGGACGTGCCTTTGGTTGACGTGCCCTGCCTTCTGCACAGTGCTGTTCTGTGTGCCTCCTCCCCACATACCTTCAAGGATCTGCTCAGAACAACAGTGCTTTCCCTTCAGAGGCAACATGGAGCTTGCTTTTGACTCCTGGTGGTTCTTTTCCTTCTTAGGTAAGGGACAGTGTTAGGTTGAACCCTCAGTATCACCTGCAGCAGAACAGGTGCTGAGAAAAGGAGGTGCTGTTGGCATCTGCACTACTGGGGAAGCAGTAGGAGACGTTCTGTGCAGATCTGACCACTGCTCACCCTTTCCCTCTGCCACTTTCTTTGTGATCACAGTTTCTCAGAAGGATGAAGGAGACCACAGAAGTTGACTTAGGTTACAAGCCTCAGAGGTTTTTTTAGTTGTGGAGTATATAGATGATGAKGAAGGCAATTACTAGCGCCTCCTGCCATGGGCATCTTGCTCTCTCTACTCCTTTAAACCTCTTCTTTTTCTTAAGCATATGGTCTTTAGCAACCCAAGATTCTCCTGCACGCCTGAGAAAGTTTCTATTTTAATGTCTGTCTCATGGGAAGCCCTACTCCAGTGTAGTTCTTCTCTGCTCATTTTATTTGTTTGGAAATCCCCAAGATTCTGGTTTCTAAGATGAATTAGGCCCTCAACAATCAAAGGACTATAGGTATAAGAAAAAATATTGAGGGCTGGGGATATGGCTCAAGCGGTAGCGCGCTCGCCTGGCATGCGTGTGGCCCAGKTTCGATCCTCAGCACCACATGCAAACAAAGATGTTGTGTCTGCTGAAAACTAAAAAATAAATATTAAAATTCTTTCTCTCTCTCTCTCTCTCTCTCTCTCTCTTTAAAAAAAATAAATGTGACACTAAAAAAAAAAAAATATTGAATAAGCTTATCCTGACTGACTGGCTCAGGAGGACAATTCTTTTGAGAAAGGAAAAACGACTTCCCAAAGGTTAACATTACTTGACACCTCTTAAGGTTAAAAATAATTTTCCTTTCTGTATTTTTAAGTAGGAGTGTTTGTTTGCAATATATTTTGAAGCTGATTAGAAGTGGTATCTTCTGTGCAGGTTAGTCAGTTGCTGCCCTTTGTGTTCCTTGCCTTTTCTGTTTTGGCTTCCTGCTCCTCCCTAGTTTCCCTGAATTCTGAAACAAACTCAGAGTCTCTTTCTCAGTGCTCCCTCTTTGGTATGCACACGTGTTGTAGTAAGGGATTGAACCCAGAACCTGGTGCATGCTGGGTAAGTGCTCTGCTACCAAACTTCATCCCCGGTCCCCCTTTTCCTTTCTTTCTTTCTTTTCCCCAAGTTTTTTTTTTTTTTTTGGCGGGGGGAGGGGCAAGATCTTGTTTAATTGCCCACGCTATCCTCAAATGTGCAATTCTCCTTCCTCAGCTTCACAAGTAGATCGGATTACATGCATGCGCCACCATGCCCAGCACTCTCAGGTTTTTAAGTTGAACTTTTTACCATATTCTAAGTGGTAATAATAATGATTTTAAAAGAAAATACTCAAGTTTTAAGAGTATTTATTTGTAGAAGGAAAAGATACCTTGAATGCTTAAAACACAAACTCAACATTTTGTTTTACCAAAGCAAGATGCTTATATACAGCATGAATTGTTGGCCATAGCGCCATCTACCTTCATTTTCAGCCATTTTTTATACACAAGATAAAAAAGGGAAGCTCTTGGAGCCCATTTCTTACGGAATGAATAAAAATAGACTTATCTGTCTTGACTGAATGTTTTGAGGCGGTTTTGTGCAAGCATCCATGAGGGTCTATACCCTTCTCATGCTGGTGCTCCCTGTCATGCCAGACCCCATGTCCTCCCTTTCAGTGGCGCCTGACTCAGGTAAGCAGTAAGGTACCCAGAGTCTGATCATGAGGCACAGGGTCTTCAGTTTTCTCCCAGCAGGTCCACCCTGGGGCACTCATCACTAGCCTAACAGTTTTTGTATTTTTAAAAAGTGTGTAGACTTCTGAAGGTAATTTTATTGCATTTTAAAATAGAAATTCTTCTCCTCCAGTACCCACTCTTGCTCCTTCCTGTAATACTCAAGGCCTCCTTTGAGAATCAAATAATACAGTTCTTTTCAGCAAAGGGATTTGGTTTTTGCATTCACATGAATTATGCCTTAGAGAAAATGGAAAAGTGAGCTCATGATTACTTTTTCCCATAGGTAAGTTTCTGGCAGGGATCAGGGCAGAGAGAGCCCACGCAGTCTCCCCCTGAGGAGGATGTGGCAGGACCCATTGCTTTTAAACCCTTCATCCAACGTACTGTAACATCCTCGGTACACGTAATTTCATCAGGTGCACGTGCCCGCTTCAGCAGCACATGAACCAAAATTCTGCTGTTCACCTCTAAGAGCCTTTGTCTCACCTGGGGATTACAGGCCACTCCCTCCCCTGCCCTTTGATACCCTCTTCCTGCTGGCTCTGCCCTTCCCAGTCTCCGCTTGCGTCTTTCTGCAGTCCGGCTCCACAGCAGCTTCCTTTCAGGGTTTGAAGCCCTCCGGGCGGATTTTCATCTCCACCCGTTTGAGGGAGTAGCTGGCCCCATGCCAGCCATACCAGGTGATGCCATCCAAGTGCTCCTTGTGCTCCCCCAGGCGGTAGTAAACCCCATTGAGGTTGGAGTCCGTGCAGCAGTTGTACCAGTATCCACCTGGCACAAGAAACAGATGGGGCTGGTCAGCTGGGTGTGCCTTCCCCTTGAGGTGGACAGGGCGGAGCAGAAGGGACTGCAGAGCCCAAGCTCCAGCTGCACATCTGCAACATCCGCAGGTGGGTTATCCTTCCCACCCGCCCCCCTCACCTTTGCGGAGCAGGGCACACTTGTCCAAGCAGTTGTCATTGTCCTTGTCCTTGGTGCTGAATGCTGTGTTGTTGTGGTAGAGGAGTGCATCGTTGCCCACGTTGCCACTGTAGTTCCCCAGGAAGAGGCGGTAGCTGTTGAGTTCATTGCTCAGAACAAAGTGGCTGTACTCCGCATAGCGAAGGTTGCCCTCCCAATCCTGTGGGGAAAATCAGAGCCTTAGGGGACTGCAGAGCACTGCTGTCATACCCTCCCTGTACTGCTCCTCTCGCTCCAGCCCTACAGCCAAACATCTTTTTCTAGATGTGAATCTAGCAAGACCTGTCACTTGCTTCCTCCTGCTTAGCACACTAGCTGGGAATCAGCAAGCGAGGTGCTGGTCTGACTACTCTCTGGATTCACCGTAGGCCTTGACAAAAGGTTTCATGTTCCTGGTTGAAGGAATAGATGTGTACTTTTGCTGAATCCCACTCAGATGTAACAAGAGCAACACGAGGATGTGGTGATGCTTTAAGGCCTTCTAGAGGACCACCAACCAGTATCTCTAAGGACCTCGTGCCCCAGRCCTGAGCAAAGACAATGGTGTTTTGCCCAGCCAACAGCTTTGCTCTGTCCTAGCCTGCGTCAGCTTCGTCCTGTGCTACTCACAGGCCTGGTTTGCTGAGAAAGGGAGAAAAATTTTTCTTCTTCAACTGAACTACACCCTGCAGAAAACTGTCTTAGTGAATGTATGATCTCAACTGAACAGACAAGGAGTCATGCACAGTAGTGTTAGAGGTCCTGGACCAGCTCCAGGGCCCCAGGCCTGGAGTTCACCTCCATCTCCACACGGAGCCGTGTTGGCTGTCTGGTGAGCCGGTGGATATTTTCATTCCCCAGCCAGAAGTCCCCACGGATGCTGCCAAAACCCTGCTTGTACTGCTTCCAGTCCTGGTAGAAGGAGACAAGGCCACTCTTTCTTCTCTGAATGATGGTCCAACCCCCACCTGAAGTCTTCATGTCACAGAACACCTGGAACAAAGAAGATGTTCAAGGGTAACCAATGACTTACTCATTAGAAGCTAATCAGAAAGTGCARACTGCCCACCTTCTTTCCTGTCCCTACAGAGCTAGCAATGAATGTACTCCCATGGTCACACTGGCTTCCTGTGTTAGCAGTGCTGTCCCCAGTGTTGGGAAGCTGGAGCTGGGTGGTAGTTTGCTTAGAAAGAATTGTCCAAATTAGGGATGGGGGTGAGTGTGTGTACAGCTTATAATATGTCCCCTTCATGTTCTTTCTCCTTCCAAAAAGTTAAAAAAAAAACTGCTTTAGGACATGGCAGAGATTTGAACTAGTATTTGGTGGCTATAAAAATTATGTTAGAAGGTTTGGTGTTTGGCCAATGATTATTTGAAGGGGCCAGGGACGGACCCAGAAGGTGAGCTTTGCATAGCTCTCTGGTGGTTGGTATGTCTGCTTCTCTGAGGCTCCCTTTCAATGAACCACGACCATCCCTGTTGTCTCTGTGCCTTTGATGTTGGAGAACAGTGTGCTGCAATGATCTCACCTCCATCTCAGGGCTGCCCAGGAAGTCATTGGGAGGAAGCTTGTATACCCCAGAGATGTGGTAGTTCTTCTGGTAGAGGGAGGAGCAGTCGTAGATGGCATCTGCAAACAGAGCATACGTGGGCTAAGCAGAGGCTCGACAGCATGGCAGGCAGGGCTGCCTATCACGTGAAACCGAGCGGTTAAAGACAGAGGCTTTGTTTCTACCACAGGATGCCCACAGGTGTCAATGCCCAGGCAGTATCTGGATTTGGAGAGCTGGCATCAGGAGATTAAGAGGGAACGTGTTTTGACCTCACTGGTGGGGTAGAGGGTGGGAAAGCCCTTCACCAGGATCACGTCACCGGGTCAAATAGGTGGTTTCAGGTTGTCTGAAGTAAATTATTTWTCCTGCTGTAGTTTAGGCTATGAAGTTTAGGAATGGTGCCATGTGTGAAAGCATGTGCCCGATGCCCCTGTGAGTAGCTCCAGGCTCTTGGACTACCACCTCTATGACATGGGAAGTCAGGAGTGTCTCAGAGGGTCTGCTTCCATGGTGCTCCTCTGTTTGTTTTTAGTGTTTCTCAGAAGTAGTGGCTGCTGCCAGCTGGGATCCTGCTCAAGGGAGGTAGATATCATAACTCATCCCTCCCACCTAATAATGCTAGATCCTCAAAGGAAAGCCAACCCCGAGGAATGTCTTGAGGCCTTCCCCTGAAAGTTTTGTTAAAAAGAAGGAAATGAGATTTTCTTTTCCCTCTGGGGTTGATTTAAATGCTTGCTGGCTGCCCTTGGGGCTGTGGCCTTGCACCAGGCTCTCTCTCCTGTTCTAATATCAAAGAGCATCAGGAAGAAAAAGCCTTTCTGGTAGGATTCAGAGAGCAAAGCGCAATGAGCTTTCATTGTCTAGGGTATCTTGAGAATTGTTTTCTCGGGCTGGGATCTTAGAGAGAGCACAAGGTAACACTGATGGCCACACTGCCACCTTGAGAGCTGTCTGAAGTGCCTCAGTTTCCTCCCAGAGCACCCTGCCATCACCCTCAGAGTTCTGCATTTCCTGTTGCTAGTCAAAGTCTGAACTTGCTACTCGTTCCAGGGGCTGCTGACTTCTGGAGTATGGTAGTGGCTCAGCACCTGGTGCCAGACAAGAAAAAGGAAGGACTAGTGTCCTGGGCAAGACCAGTGGGAGGCTGAGCAGTCGGGCCACAGTTCAATTCCAGGAGTCTTCTTACTGGGTGGTGAGAGTTCCTGGTTCGGAGGAGCAGAAAGCGGCTCCATCAGACTCCTGTCCAGCCTGACCTTCCACACATCAGTTTCTTTTCTCAGATCAAATCAGGACTCACTTGTCCGCAAAATGGCTGAGAATCCTTTTTAATCCCAAGCCAGAGGTCAGGAATTCCATGCTAAGGAAGTGATTGGTACATGTGGGTTTAGATAACAGGATTTTCAAGCTTAAATTCATGTTTAAAACTTTTCAATCATTTAAACCAAGGGTAACCAATGACTTACTCATTAGAATCTAATCATGTCTTTGTTCTCAATTTGGATTATAATATAACCAATAGTTTTTATATTAGTTAAAATTACATTGTCTATAGGATGTGTTCCTTTCAACTAATATTTCCCTGGTAATTTCAGAAAACCAAATGTATCTCTTAAATAGTAAATTCATGATGGCCCATATGTGCCAAGCTAAGCAACAACTGAAAGTTGTTTTGCAAAATAAAACATTAAATGTGCCTTATTTTTAGCCATTAAAATCCATATTCAACATTGCACTTACTTATGTTATATGATATTTGGGAGAATTTTGAGACCATGGAGGGAAATGGAAACATCAGAATTGAGGAGCCTGTCCCTTCTGAGCACAAAGGGCTTCTTCACAGGCCAGGTGGAGTCTCTACACTGAGTTCTGAGTCAATGAGAGGAGTGGGTTTGCAGAAAGAGGACACACAATTCCATTAGTGTCCATTCCTGCTAAATCTTAAGGACACCAGAGAACTGGTTTTGACAAAACTTTACATCCAGAGCAACAGATGTTCCTGCTTCCTTGGGATTTGGGGTGTAGTCAACAGCTCTTGAGAAGGAAATGGCATAGCTATCCCAATCAGAAAGATGACAACCCTTCTTCTAAGACTTGCTGTGTCACTTTGGGCAAACCATGGAATCGCCCAATGCTCCAAGGTGGGAATTCATGCATTCGTAATATGCTGAATTGAGAGATTCAGAGACCTGGGAAGGCACTGGGTACATTTTTAGAACAGCAGAAATCAAAAGAGCTGCTTCATAAATCTTTCCTCAAGGGAAAGTATATCCCAAAAGAGCCCCTGGAATTGCTCTGATGAGCAGTTTGTCTAGAAGCACTGCTGTGGACCAGGATCCCCTCTGAGGGGAGGTGTGACTTCCTTACCTGCTGAGGTCTGGGTGACCGTCTGTGCCGCTTGGAGCTGCATGATGTCGATCTGGCTGTTCATCTCAGAGAACTTGCTCTCGGCATCTGTAAGCCTTGACTCCATGCGCTTACTGGTGCTCTCCAGCTCCATCACCTGCATGACCACGCTGACCCAGTCACTCTCCTGCTTCTTGCCTAGTTCGCTCAGCATACTGCTTAGGTTGGCGACCTGGGCCTTGAGCTCCTTCACCTCCTTACAGCAGGAGGCAGCTTTGAGCTCTGCTGGCATCTTATGTTTAGGGGACTTCTGCAGCTGTACTGGGTGGCTGGCAAAGGCCACAATGAAAATGCAGAGCCAGGTCCCAGCTGCAAGAGTCTTGCTCAGCATCTTTCGTGGGCCTGGTAAAGAAGGCTTTGCCTTTGGGGAACTTTGGACTGGCCCAGTGGAGGCCTGAGGAGCTGCTCACACCTTACACGCTCACTCTGGATGGCCTCACACTTCGTTGTCCCCTTTCTTTCCTTGCCCTCCCGCAGCCTTTGTCAAAGCTTGAGTTGCTGGAAGTGGAGTGTACTGGACACCGGTGGCTTGCCTTCCCAAGCGTGAATGCTCCACCAAGTCAGCATCTTAAATATTGTTTGTGCCTGCACCTCCACCCCCACGGTGGCCCTGCACAGTGCCATAACCCCTCCCACCTCATCTGGGAGGGTCAGGTGCCTGTCCGGTGAAGTCAGCGCAAACTTAGGCCAGAGGAAGGGAGGAGGGAAACTGGGCGAGTCTGTCTTTCCTTGCCTGCAGTCTCTGGGCTGAGACGGAGGACTGTGAATTTGTGTGTTTCCAGTTTTGCCTGTTAGATTATGCCCCTGCCAGCCACTGGCTCGGCTCTGTCAGCAGGCAGGCAGGGTCAGAGGGATTTCCAAATTCCGTTCTAAAGGTTATGTAACCATGGGGTGAGGCGAGGTAGGAGAGAGAATTGGGAATGAAACTCCACTCACCCAGGGAGCCTGTTACTATAATCCACGCTATTTACATGAGCTTCTAATGTAGTTCAGCATCCTGCGGAGTATGCTGTCAACTAGAGTGGATGGCCCTTTCTCTGATCGTCATTCCGTGTTCTCCACAATCCTTATTCAACCTGGCTTTAGCACTGTCTCAGGTTTTAAAATCTCCAACTCAGAAAGATCTAGAAATAGGAGGACAGAGTAAATCTCTTAAGAAGCAAGAAAGACTTTGTAGTTTGCATCCATGGGGTGTGCAGTTAGTTGTCTTTCTTTTTCAACAAAGAACAGGCCAGTTAATACTGGCTTCTCACGCTTGACAGTTTTGTAAGGAGGTGTTAGAAGATCACAACAGCAATGAAGACTCAGCCTTGCCAGGTGTGGTTCTGGATTGGTCACCCACGCTGTCAGTCTCCAGGCAGAACAGAACAGGCCTCCCCTCGGCCCATGGTTCAAAACTTGGAACATGTATCAAAGAATAGAGAAAATACTCCCCATCACTTACTAAGTTCTTATCAAAAACCTCATTTCTCTTTTTTTATGCAGTAGTGTTTGTAATTTGAAATTAATTTTCTGTCGATATATGGAAAACTGATATGTAATTTTTCATACGCCATATTTGAAGGACACTGCTCTTTTGAAGACAAATGTAAAATCATGAAATTTTAGCAGACATTCTTAAAAAGAAGCTTTTGACTAAAACTACATACAAATGTCCTTAGGACAGTGGCTGTCTTTGCAACAAATGGTTGCTCTTCCTGTTTCCATGTTGGAGAGCAAGCCATTGAGGCAGTTGCTTGACAGCTGATACTCAGCATGGGTCCTCCCCACTCCAGCTTGAGGCCCCAGCTCTTCTCTGATCCCCTGGAGCTGTTTTCCAGTCAGGGCTTCCAGCTCCCTGGAGAGAGRTTCCTGTTTGGACAGCTGGAGTAACCAAACAACTCTTTGTTTCTGAATTGAAAAGTAGTAGGGAGGGGCTCAGGTAGACCTCACATTCCTCATCTTTTTTATCCCCTTGGGGATAAGGATGTTGCTAGCACCCTATAGCAAACTTGTCATCATTCTGCTCCCGGATGTTCAGAGTCGGCACTATTTGTGGTCCCTGGTTCCTTTTGCAAAGGTCTAGCCTAGCTGGTCATGACAGCCTTCATTAGCTCTGTGGAGTTCATTTCACTAAGGAGAAGTCTGCCCTGTTGATTAGCATCCTGCAAGGTCTGCTAAGGTGGAGGTCTTGGAGGCACTCGCCTGGCCGTCAGATGACACTATACAACCGCACACCTCAGAAGTACCATGTACCGTGCAATCGTATGCAGCGTCCCACGCAGCCCTCCCACCTGTGACTGCTCTGCCGCAGCACAGTGGAAAAAGCGTGAAGGACCCAGGAGCTCCAAATTCCAGGCAGCTTTTGTTTATTCTTCCCAGTTGCTGCTTCACTCATCCAAACAGGAAAATTTAGGAATTAGTTTTTATATCTGGGCAGAAAATGAATCATTCATTYATATTAGTAACCCATGTAGCAATTCTTTTTAGGAGAGGGTTCATAAACTTGGGTCAGAAAGCATCTAGCTTTTAGCATGAATGTCTGTCCTCTGACATTTGTCTTCTGGAAACTTATTTCTAATGTTAGGCATAACTTGGACACAGATGCTTTTCTTATTCAAAGATTGTTTTAAATTACCTAAGCTGCACAAATGTCAATAAATTCCTCCAAACTTTGAAAAAAATAATTAAGGGTATTTCTCATGCCCAAATATTATCTAATTTCCTAAACATGCACAACCCTGTGATGTCCTGGATTCTGAATTTCTAAAAGAAGGACAAGTCCGCCCTTGTCCTGAGCACAGCTGAATCCATAGAGGGAAGCTGTAGACCTGGGGGACTACAGTAGTTTCCCTTCTCGGTGGGGCTGTCTTCATCCTATTGTCTACCTTTCAACTAGCACAGTAACCATGAAAATGGGAATTAACTTACCCCAATGATTCAAATGTATGAATTGCCAAGATCATTATAATGTCATGTGTAGCTAATAAAAAAAAATCTATAGCTTAATACTGGGCACATGTTTGCAGTTCATAAATAATAATAATAATAATAATAATAATAATAATAATAAATGTAACTATTATTACTGGAAAGAAAAAGAAAATGGGAATTAACTGAGAAAATGTGAGAAATGTGGGCTGGATACCATATAGTTTTTCTCATTTCACTGATGGTGAGAGAGAGCTAACTTGCTGCACCTAGGGAAGATGTTTATGAAAATAAACCTTGGTTTCTTCATAAAAAGAGCCAGTGAGCTTCCCCTCAGACTGGAGGTTCTCGAAGACTTCAGATCTGAGCTGCACTGCCCCAGGCTGGCCAAGGACTGGAAGCAGGGGAGCAGCCCAAGAGTTGTGGAGAGGTCGGGGCCTCCAGGTGGGCTCCTTCCAACCATTTGAAGAGTCTAGTCTCAGTTGCTGGAGGAGGCCCCAGTGGGGAAAGTGCTCCTCCTTTCTGGTATACCCTGCCTCTGCTTGCTGCCAAACATCACTTTCAATACTGGAAAGAGAGGGAAGCTGTGTCCCTAGTACCCAGGTCTCAGTATGAAATGAGTCTGTCTCAGAAGGGGCTGTCACATTGTTGATTTAGTACCAATATCTTTGTGTGTGTGTGTGGTGCTAGGGATTGAACCCTATAGCCCTATGCATGCGAGGCAAGCACTCTACCAACTGAGCCATCTCCCTAGCCCCCAACATTTTTTAATAGCCACAGCCTGCTAATAAGCCAGCTTTTAACAACAACAACAATGATCACAGCCTGCCAAACCATACATAACCATTGACTGGCTTTTCTGTCACTCACTCAGTCCTTCTTTGTCTCAGTTGGGTGCTTGAGTCCATCAGAGAAGGTGTACCCATAGATGCGTCTTCTCTAAACCTTCTAATGCACTATCTCTACCAAAGAATATGCCCTGGACCTACTAAAAGTCATTGTTCTTACTGGGAGTATAAGTATAGCTCTGGTAGAACACATGCTTAGCATGCACAAGGTTCTGGATTCAAAGCCCAGCACCAGAAACAAAATCATTTTTCTCAGGACTCCTCTTATGGAAAAAAAAAAATCAAATCTGTTAACCAGCATTCAGGCAGCAGAGCACAATGATGGTGCACACACCCCAGCCCCCATCAGCCCCTTCCAACACCCAGTTGTCTCATAGTCTAGGAAAATCTTGGAAAGACAGGTAACTGAACTCCAGGACAATGTGACATGTGGGAATAAAGCACAGTGGGGAAGGAGTGCCCAACCCAGGTGGCCCTGGAGGGCCTCCCAAGCACATGTACCCAGAAAAAGCATACTAAAGGAGAGGAGAAAGTGGCCAGGAATGGGGAGGACAGCACAGGGCAGCTGTGTGAAAGGCCTTGCKKGGGGGGGGGGGGGGTAGGTAAGGCTGTGCACATGGCCTGAGAGTCCAGAAGCGAGACGGGTTCAGCAGAGTTAAAGCAGAAGATGGGGAAAGCAGCCAGGCCCAGGGACCCCATGTGTCCAGGTGAGGAGTGTGACTCTCCCTCTCAAGACGGGCTGTGGAAGGAATCCAAGCAACTTTGGCCTTTTGTCTCTTTGTTTTCCAGAGTCTTACCAGGAAAGCAGCCTTTTGTGATTGCCAAATAAGATTTTTAACTGGAAATCAGTAACTTAGAGCACTCAGTTTTTTTAAAGCATCCAACTTGATTTATTTTTTATGTGGTGCTGAGGGTCAAACCCAGTGCCTCACATGTGCTAGGCAAGCTCACTACCACCCCAGCCCACTGAATGTTTTTAATTGTATACCTTCATGCTAAATGCCTTGGCTGTTGTGTTCAGGAGTCAGACATGAAGAGCTTAAGTAGTTATTTCTAGAGTTAGACCAATTTGACCTCTGTTCCCTTCCTAACACTTGATAGCTCCTTATGACCATGGGAAAATTACTTCTCAGTTTTCCAATCCCTGAAATAGAGATAAAAATCAGAACTACCTCACCAGGGGGTGGGGCTGGGGCTCAGGCTCAGTAGTGGAGCTCTTACCTTGCTTGTATGAGGCTCTGGGCTTGATCCCCAAAAAACCTTGAAAACAAGAAATCAAAGATCCCCAGATACCTCACCTCATTGGGATTTTTGTGAGGATTAGACTAAATAAAGCAAAAGGTTAGGAAGGGCTAAGACAATTTTGGGTTTGGCGGTTTTAAACAGTTTTTATTTTTTAATTAACATTTTTTCAAGAATACAATTAACTACAGTCACCATTGTGTATAATAGATCTCTTAAACACATTCTTCGTAACTGAAAATTTGTATCCTTTGACCAGCATCTCCCCAACTCCAGGGAGCACCCCCTTCCCCGGCCACCCAGGCCCTGGTACCACCATTCTGTTCTTACTCCTGCAAGAGCAACTTTTTTAGACTTTGCATTGAGTGACTTCACACAGTATTTCTTTTTCTGTGTCTAGCATATTTCACTTGGCTTCATGTCCTCCAGGTTCATCCATGTTGTCACAAACGCAAGACATTTTTGAATAAGAATAAATTTGGAGGAAATGTGCTACTAGATATCAAGATTTGTCATAAAGTTACAGTAATTAAGTCAGTATATTTGGTACAAGGATAGACTAATAGACAACTCTGGA